AATACAATTAAAAATAAAAATGAAGACTTTGTTGAAAAAGTGGTACTGGACACCAGTTTAGCTTGCCCTTATATTGCCCACAACCCAACCACGATGCTGATGGTGTGGTCCTAAGAGGACTTAAGATCACGTATGATGCGTTGCCTGGTAATACAGGTATTTGGAGGACTGGGGGAAGTGTCCAAAATAATCTAGGAGCCTGTGGATTTCTCACTCCAATTCTGTTTATTGTCCCCCTCTGAAGGCCTGAAGGCTGGTGTAAAGCATGAGGATTTACTATCTTTTTAGTGGCCAGTTGGCTATTGATAGCTGAAACCTGGAAGGCCTTACCATGATTATTCCTGGATTTATGGTATATAAATATTTGGTAATCAGCTAGTGCGGAGAAAATAAGGCATAACTTTAAAGTCATAAAAGGAACAGGGTGGGGGGACCAGACAATTTTTATGCAATATGGTGACTATTTATTAAATATACAAACGAAATTGATCTTAAAGATAAATGCTCCAAATATCATGTGGCAAGCCTGAATGGCATAACTAAACCTGTAGCATGCTCATACAGACTGTAAAACGAAACTCCAGTTGTGCTTAGCCATTGCTCTTCTCAACAACTCCACTTTTTAATGTTCTGTATCATCCGTTCCCTGAGATCCAGGCTCCCCCAAATCATGGGAAAATAGAATGGCGTCCAAGCAGGGTCAAAACTTCAAAATAAGAGTACCATTTAGATGGCCAGTGCCCTGCCTCTGCAATATCACTGGAGAAATGACCCGGACACTGTCAACCCCATCTATGACCCAAAACTGCCCAAAGCTGCCCCTGCTGCAATTTGCTAAATTTGCCCTGCTGCCCCAGTACCTGTCAGGATGCTGTCAGCAGCTCCCGGCTGATTGCCCAGGAAAGTATAAAGACAAGGGAAAGTTTCTTACAGCCCTTTTTTATTTCAGACTTTACAGGGAGAGGCTATAGAACCCAGCCTCTTGGATAATGGCGTTGTCCCGACTGAATCTCCACCCCCGTTGCTCCCACTTTCTCATTTGTCACTTCTATGGGTGTTGCTATGTGCCCTCTGTCTTTGAGCTCTTTGCTTTCCTACTTTTAAGGCTCGCCAGGTTCTGGGAGATGGAGGGTCTGGAATGCTTTCTAATGACAACATGTTGCTTTGGCTCTCCCATGATTTCCCAACTTTCCCCCTCATCTGCCTCTGAGCTGCGACCTCCCTCAAACCGCTGTTGTAAATCTATACTGTCTTCCTCTTCCTCCTCCCTGGAAGGGTCAGGATAGGGAGGCGGTCTCCACCATTCTTCCTCTGCCCAGTCCCTGACAGTACCCCATAACGTGGTCTAGAAGAGACAAAGCCTGCTTTGTGCCTCTGACCAGGGCTAGTCTACACCCAAAGCACCAAAGGCTGCCTTCTAAGCCTCTCTATATGGTCCTCAGGATTTACCCCCATGCCACACCCCTTCCCCCAAGGCCACACCCCTCACTGCCCCTGCTTCCTATCCTCCTTGAGAGTTTTTGGCTGGATGAAATGTGTCTTGTGATCACAACTCTTGCTTGGTGAGAAAGAGCCAGCATGGTGTGGTGGTTAAGATCGGTGGACTCGTAATCTGGTGAACCGGGTTCGCGTCTCCGCTCCTCCACATGCAGCTGCTGGGTGACTTTGGGCTAGTCACACTTCTCTGAAGTCTCTCAGCCTCACTCACCTCACAGTGTGTTTGTTGTGGGGGAGGAAGGGAAAGGAGAACGTTAGCCACTTTGAGACTCCTTCGGGTAGTGATAAAGTGGGGTATCAAATCCAAACTACTCTTCTTCTTCTTCTTCTTCTTCTTCTTCTTCTTCTTCTTCTTCTTCTTGCCTGCTGTGTGAGTGTACCCTGCTTTTGTTGGGCATTTGTTGCTTTGCCCATTTTGACTCTTCCCCCACCCACTCACCAGCATGTGGCCCCGGGAAGACTGACCAGACGATCCCCACCCTGGTCTACACAGTTCAGATTCATGTCATGGGCCCAGGAGTCAGCTTCGTTTTAGCTGATCAACAGCCTGAAGGGGGAGAAGGAGGTGTGACTCCACCTGCAGCTGATCAGCCTTTAAGGATGAAGAGGAGAACCAACTGGCTTCAGCCTTCTTAAAAAGAGCTCTCAGCAGCAGTCAGATGTTGGAAACAATGTTTGTGGTTCCCTAGGATTTGTAATCATCAGATTCCCTAACCGCTGGATTTCCCAACTGTTTGCCCAACCCTCAGAACAGACTTAACTTCATATGCTGACTCTGCCAAGTGTACCTCAAGAGACTCTTCTCTTCTGGTTGTTTGGCCTCACATGCCACCGAGTTTCACATGCTGTCGCTCGGTAATGGGACTATGACAATTCATAGGAACCCTAGACACTCCTCCACACACTACTGTGAATTCTCCATGGCAGACAGCTTTCCACACTCTTGCAGGAGGTTCTCCCTGCCTCTCTGCAATTTATTGTTCATAAATTCTGAATATGCACATATTGTGAAATTTGCAAATTCTGAATTTTCACATACATGCAAATCGGATCACAGGTTTCCATTGTATTTCTCCAAACTTTGAGATACGGTTCTTGACTCAAACCACATACCACAGTGTGTATAAAACTGTGTATTTTAGGATAAAATATATTTAGAAAGGTGTCTTTTGAGAGAAAATACATTCAAACATAGAATTTAGGTACATATTTAAATATGAATTTTCATGCACCTTAAGCAAACAAAAAACACAGATTGATGCAGAAATAGGATGACATATGTAGGTGTGAAAGTGATGCAAAACTCCCAGAGACTCCTGGGGTTGGGGGGGGTCTCTGCCTGTCCACGCAAATGATTCCTCCATCCCTAACCATATCAGGATACTAGCATAACTGTTAACATTTGCTTGAACTTTTACGTAGAGCTGCATTTTTAAGACCAAAGAAATATCAAACACAGTTCAGTAAGAAGGCTGCATACATAGAATGTATGAAAAATGACTGGGCCAATTCTTCAATGAAAAAATGTATGCATTTTTAAATCATGCTATTTCAAAATGAGCCATAAAATAGGTCATTACATACTAGGGCAAAATGAATATGCAATGAATTATTCATCTTTATGGAAATCCTTCGATACTTATTGGTGACATGAGTCATGTAATGCATATCCTTTTTGCACAATGCACTGTTAATAATGAATAAGGATTTATCATTATATTATTATATGAAATGCAACGAACAATATTAAAACCTGCTCTTCCGCTGGAATCAAGTGATTTACGGCACACTGACGGATTCGCTTAGAAGACAAAGTTGCTCTTTTCATTACTACTGATCAGATTTTCATGCCATTTAATATGAAAGCATGCATTCCTCCAGGCCAAGAGTTCATCACAGCGTTTGAGTTTCCTGCATGGTCCTCATTCATTGCAATGGAACCTACGTAGGAGCAGAAAGTTGTCCCTCAATGCAGCTGACATCATCAAATAGATATTGCCACTTGTTGCATAGTAGTGAAATAAAGAAGAATTTGTTTAATATCCATCAAGTTTTGAGCTCAGATATCATTACACTTCTTATTTAATAAAACACAATAAATTATATATTAGCAAGTAATCTTACGGAGGATACGATATCCTGCAAAACAGTTTCCAATACGTAACAGTTGGACTGAGTGTTGGGATAGGACCTGGGAGAGCAGGGATCGAATCCCCACTCAGCCATGAAGCTTACTGGGTGACCCTGGTCCACTTACCATCTCTTAGCCTAACCTACCTCACAGGAGGGGATGCGGGTGGCGCTGTGGTCTAAACCACTGAGCCTCTTGGGCTTGCTGATCAGAAGGTTGGCAGTTAGAATCCCTGAAATGGGGTGAGCTCCTGTTGCTCTGTCCCAGCTCCTGCCAACCTAGCAGTTCGAAAGCACACCAGTGAAAGTAGATAAATAGGTACCACTGTGGCAGGAAGGTAAACGGTGTTTGTGTACGCTCTGGTTTCTGTCACGGTGTTCTGTTGCACCAGAAGCAGTTTAGTCATGCTGGCCACATGACCCGGAAAGCTTTCTGTGGACAAACACCGGCTGAAAAGCGAGATGAGCACCGCAACCCCATAGTCACTTTTGACTGGACTTAACCATCCAGGGGTCCTTTACCTTTACCTTTACCTACCTCACAAGGTTGTTGCAAGGATGAAATGGAGAGGAGGAGAACCATGTACATCACCTTGAGATCTTTGGAAGATAAAGGTGCTCTATAAATGTACCTTTACCATACCTTTACCTATAAATGTAACAAATACAATTGCTATATAAGTGTTTAACAATGCCCAGGGTGGAATCCAGAACGGCAAACTACACCTTTAAAGCACATTCAAAACACATTTCCATCCTCAAAGAATTCTGGGCAGTGAAGTTTACTGCTCACAGAACTACTGTTCCCAACAACCCAGTTTCGGCAGCCTGTTTCCAATGGTGCACCTCTAAGAAGAAACAAACTCCCACAGACTTGGGAGAATGGCATGCACCGACATTTCATTTTCAAGCACTGACGACTGAGGCTGATGCAAGAACAGAGTGGTTTTGTTTCAAACGTGGTAATTAAGCATAAGGTCTTGCTCCAGATTATTGTAGCCCTAATTAAAGCTCTTTAATAGGCAAGGGAAATATTTGGTAATGCCATCTGCATTTCTTGACCAGAAACACTTTTGTTTAAACAAGTTCACAAAACAAATTCTCTGCATACTTCCCATACATAATTAACATCACATTTCTAATTCATATTAAAATGAAGATGTTTGGAATCGGTGTCATGGTAAGATTATTATTTTTTTGGTTGCCTGATAGTATAAAAAGATGCCACTTTTTCTGCTGTCCAGATTTGGATCTCTGATGTAAATACGATCTAGGAGAACTGAAAATTATTTCAAATGAACAGATTAATCTTATTTACTTTAGCTACATGTTTGCTTTTAGCCTCAAAGACCTTCTGCCGTGATGAATCGGTAATGACCAGCTTGCAGAGCAGAGAAGAATACAGTGATGATAACTATTCCGAGGTAAGAAATTTACTGACATAATATTATCCTTTAAGAATTGTGTTTGCACTGCTATTGGTACATAAAGAGGTTGACAGAGAAAATGTTGAAACAGCATATGTGTGGATCAATCAGGGCCGGCCCAAGGCATTTTGGCACCTGAGGTGAATCAGAAAATTGCGCCCCTCCAAGAATCGTACCTCGGGTTAAGAACTAAATTTCTTCTGGAGGTCTGTTCTTAACCTGAAACTGTTCTTAACCTGAGGTACCACTTTAGCTAATGGGGCCTCCTGCTGCTGCGCACACACGCACACAACACAATTATATATTTTTTAAGACCCTTCTATCTTCATCTTCAGTTCACAAACAGAGATCCATGTCTTCCCAGCTCCCACCTGGAACAGCTCCCATCTTTCTCAACCTCACACCCTGAGAAAAATCAGTCTATTCTGCCTCTCACAAATCTCTTCTACCAATCTTCTCTCTTTATGTATCTTCATTCATATCATGCTTATAAGTTATGTTATTTAATATTAATAAAATACTATCAAAAACTAAGAAAAAAGAAAGAGAAAAAAGAGGTACTTCTTCTCTTCTATCTGTCAATTAAATAGAATACAGTTATTTCCAATATTTAGCAGATACACTCCAGAATAGCTCCTAGCTGTAGGTGGTATACAGCTTTCTGCCATCTGCTAATGGTACTACTTCAAATTCCCTTTGCAGGCTTCCAGCATCTCCAGTTTTGACACTCAATCGGTCTAATATGACTCTTCCTTTATTGTTATTTCCAATTGTCCTGAAATTAATATTTCTCCAAGTTCTTGTGAGAGACTTCTTTTTGTGAGTTCCAGAACATCTCAATAAAATGAGAGTCTGCATTTATTTGCCTGTTATTTATTCAATAAATCATAACCTCACGCTTTTCTCTCCTGGAAAATAAGCTCCATCTCTGATGTTAGTCATCAAGGTAGAAATTATCTATCAGACATTACTTAGCAGGATGGTTTCACCTTCCTGGTGTCTGTGACAAAAGATCTGGCCAGTTCCAGCCAGTTGGCTATTTTTAAAAAAAAATATTAAGGATTAAATTAGGAAAGTGGACTGGTAAGAAAGCCAAGGATATTAGCCCACACTGGGGTAAGTGCACAGCCAATCTGAAGGTAAGACCACTTCAGAATGAATTGAGTGTAGTGGTACCTTGGTTTAAGAACAGTCTGGTTTAAGAACGATTTGGTTTACAAACTCCACAAAACCAGAAATAGTGTCTTGGTTTGAGAACTTTACCTCAGTCTAAGAATGGAAGCCGAATGGTGGAAGGGCACCGGCGGTGGGAGGCCTCATTAGGGAAAGAGCACCTCAGTTTAAGAACGGTTTTGGTTTAAGAACGGACTTCCGGAAGGGATTAAGTTTGTAAACTGGGGTACTCGCCCTCCCCCAACTACACTTGAAGTGTTCTCACTCTCCACAGAAAAATCTGGGACTGGCAGAGAGTCAAGACTTGGAGAGGGCCAAAGCCTAACCAGAATCACACTTAATTATCAGCATGTAACCAGTATATTAATCGCCTTGAAGTTGTGTTATTGGTTTTTTCCCTTTTAGTCTAGTGAAGACATTATAGAAGAAAATCAGAGAAGCCTGAACCTTGAAGAACTGGAGGATTGGGGGCTGAAGAACATCATTAAGATGAGGACACCCACCACAAAGAAGGTGCCCAACTCAGCTGCGAATTTGCCACTGAGGTTTGGCAGAAACTTTCAGGAGGAGAGAAGCATCAAGCCTGCAGCAAACCTGCCTCTCCGGTTTGGAAGGGCGTCTGCCAGAAGCCTTGCTCGGCACACCCTTCCTTTGTCACAAAGATCTGAGAGAGCTCCTTCGGTTCAAAGTTCCTTCCATTCTCCCGCCAATTTGCCACAAAGATTTGGGACGTCGCTTCTCTTCACTCTGCCCCAAGTGGCCAAAGATCCTGACCAAGGCAATAACAAGTAAATAAATTTAAATCCATTGTTTTATTCAAGTGCTGAACACTCTGTGGCAGCCTTCCATGATCTGCACAACACTTCCCACCAGCCACAGATTGTGTGTCCATGATGAAGTCCAAAACAGCTGAAGGAAACCAGGTCATAGAAAGCTGCTCTATGTGTTATTCATTCAATAAACAACTTCTAATCCCAACCTCATTACCAATCTGAATTGATGTAATAATATACCGTTATGAATTTGCCAGGTCAATGTGAATAAAGTATTCCCTGGAAGTCCAAGTATGTCCTTTGTGGCTTGAGAAAATCTTAACGGACCTGCCGTCTGAACTTGAAGGAGGAAAGTATGATGGAGAGAGATGTGATATTTTTAAAGCAATGAGGCCACTCTGGAAGCATCCTCTCTGGATTTGATAAAAAATGATCTTTCCTCTCCAAAGTCAAGCTCTAGAGTTGTGCCGAAAAATTCTCCTGCATTATATTTCAACCATTCTCTATCAATTCCCCATCATCCAATTCTCCATCACCAAAACCCAAAAATAATAATTGGACATTTCATATAATTCAAAACATATTTTTGGAATGGGGTGGTGGAGAGGATTTTTTTTTTTAAGTATTTGAATGGTACCCTTGAAAAGCACATTTAATTTGAAGAATGATCCAGAGGGTGGTGAAGGTGAAGGTGTAGTGTGTGTGGTGTAGTGGTTAAGAGCGGTAGACTAGTAATCTGGGGAACTGGGTTCGCTTCCCCGCTTCTCCACATGCAGCTGCTGGGTGACCTTGGGCTAGTCACACTTCTTTGAAGTCTCTCAGCCCTACTCACCTCACAGAGTGTTTGTTGTGGGGGAGGAAGGGAAAGGAGAATGTTAGCCGCTTTGAGACTCCTTCAGGTAGTGATAAAGTGGGATATCAAATCCAAACTCTTCTTCTTCTTCTTCCTTTTCCTTTACATCAATCCACATTTGAATCATTGGTGCCGCTGAATCATTCGTGGTTGATTCTTTCTTTTCAGATTTGGTCATTTACACAATAATATGAAAAGGGAATCTGATGATGAAGAGGCAAGACTTTGGAAGGCTCTGGGTGAATTTCCATTCTAAAAGGCGATACAACGAAAGAGAAAGAAATGGGGCAATTTTTTTAAAAAGCCACCAGTCTTCAAATCATGGTTTCCATCAGGAGGCATTTGTAGACTGGTGATGGTGGCTGTTGTACTAGTTTGTTTCCATAGCTGTGCTGCGGGTTTCAATCTCTCTTGTACTCTGTACCATTGGTGTCAATTGTAAATAGCATATAGTAGTATTGTATGTAGCTGAAAACAGTGTCAGCAAAATAAAAAATGTCACCACAAGAAATCTACCTTGTAACCAAAGTGGCTGAAAAGTGATGCAGAAATAAACAGGTTTGGGGCTTGCTTCTATAAAAGCTGTGCAGAAGAAAATGTACAAAAGGATTGGAATATTTTTCCTGATTCCTGTGGATGAAGAAATCCATAAAAATAAATAAATAAATGGGGGTGGGAATGACATGATGCTGTGCAATGCAAATTTCTCTTTGGTTTTATAGCATAGGAGCCAAGGAAAGTATCACTGCCTAGTAAGTGAAGCTGCAAGCAAATTCTAGGCAGGTAACACACACAAGGATGGCTATCTGTAGATTATTTATTATCCATGCATATATATTATTCATGAACTGGGGAGAAAGGCAGGGGAAGGACTGGAATAAATCAAACCTACGGGAATGGATTTCAGGAAGCTGCAGGAGCTCCCAACCTTCTTTGTTTCTCACACAAGTTGTGTGTTGGTGCCTAAGCCCTTTATTTTTCAAAAGAACAAGAACACAATACTCTTGTTAGGCTTAGGCCAAGACGTTAGAGATGAATCAGTGAAGAGCTGGTGGTTGTAAAGTGAGTCCAGACACCTGCAGGATTGTGCTGCGATTGAGTTCAAACACAAATCAGGGCCAAACTAAACAACATACTGCACTGTGTCACTGCTAATAATCTCAGAGTTTTTGGCTTTTTAAGTGTGGGAGCCCTGATTTTCATCAGGTCCAGGTACACGGGGAGGGAAGCTTCAACTCTTTCCTCTCCCACCATGGTTTTGATTGAAATTGTCATAATTGTCCCCCACAAGTACCAAGAGGAAGTATCTCTGTCATTGGCCACCTCAGGAATCAAATGCTGGCAGGTAGTGGTCAGGGGTTGGACTTGTAGGGCAGAAAGTAGGAGGACCAACATTAGGTGGCGCCAGAGCCAATGAGAGTCAAAGCCATCCCCTGACTGGTTGTATAACCAAGAAAGCAGGCAGGTGGAGACTGGCTGAGGGCAGACTAAGGTTGGTGGGGCAGTGCCCCATTTGCCAGAATGGACTAACCTCCACCACTAGGGGATGGGGAGTGGTGACCAGATGTTGGAGGAGAGAGCCATATGTGGTGTGCCATGTGGCCTCCCCTGCACGCCCTAAGCCTGCTGCCTTCAGCTGTAGTGGAGAACATTGCCCTGTTCCCAGTGACTATGATCATTAGAATGTGTTTCATTCTGTCGAAACATAGAGAATACAAAACAAAGCACTGGTTTAATGAGAATCTGGCCGTCACTCTCAGATATCTCCCCCTTGTTTCAAGAAGTAGCATAAAGGGTTACTTTTCAAAGCACAATTAGGTGAGGGTTTTCTTTTCCTTCGTTTAGTTAAACTTCCTTTAAGTACATTCGTGGTATTTTGGTTTTGGTATCAAGCACTATATTTCACTTTTCCACGTCCATTTTACCGAAATATAATGTGCCAAATTCAACAATCTAATTTTTCATCAGAAACTGTGAAAGCAAACAATCAGGACAATCTCCTCTATTGTGATGTCAGATACCACTGACAGGACAGGGCAGGAAACTAGAACAACATACTGCACTGCCCTTAAACTAGAAAGGTAGGTTTGAGGCTCAAACTTCCACCTTTAAGTCTGCTTCCATCTGTTTCCTCTCTTCTAGCCATTCTTATCTAACTTTCAACACTGCATGGGGTTGGGGAAAAGGCCTGGAGACTAATGGAAGCATCAGAGATGGATCTTCATCCATCTTGCGGGTATAGGGTGGTTACAAATTTAATAAATGATAATAATAACTTTGAAAGTGGACATGTGTTGCACGATTCATGGTGTTGTGGTTGTTGATGGATGGCGTTGAGCAAGTTAGAGCATAAGACAAGCCTACTGGATCAGGCCAAAGGCCCATCTAGTCCAGCCTTCTCTTCTTAGAGTGGTCAGCCAGATGGCAATGGAGAGCTTGCAAGCAGGACCCAAAAGCAAGAACACTCGCTCCCCTCTTGTGGTTTTGTGCAACTGGTATTCGGACAGTTTACAGCCTTTGACCGTGGAGGCAGAGCAGATTATTAATTAATAGTCCAGAATGGGTGGCTGATGAGAGATAATGGCTAGGTTGATAGCTGGTGTCAGGCTGCAGGGAATCCGATCCCCCTCCCTCACGGCAAGCTGCCAGTAATGGAAAAAACAAGAAGCTCTTACCAAGGTGTTTTATTCAATATTCACAAAGATAGACATAGGATGCAGTCTCTCAGATAATGGCGTTGCTCTGAGTAAAGTCCCGCCCCTCTGTCTCTCCTATTATACATCATCCCTGCATCAGCTAATTTGTGTTTTTTGCCTCTGAGCTTTCTGTTCTCCTACTCTCAATGCTCGCCAGGTCCTGCGAGGGGGGGGGGATCAGGAATTCTTTCCAAAGACACTGAATTTGTCAGCTGTCCCCCCCCCCCCCGGTTCTTCTTCCTCCTCCTGCTCCTCTCCCAATATTTCCCAGCTTCTCCCCTCTGCAGCCTCTGAACTATGACCTTCTGCAAACCACTGTTGTGAATCTATACTGTCTCCCTCTTCTCTGGGAAGTGCAGAGGGGGCGGTCCCCACCATTCCTCCTCAGCCCAGTCCCTGACAGCTGGGATACTTTCTATGCCTTTGAATGAGGTACCTACTGGAGCACAGAGAAGGTGACCTACAACCACCCCTCCAGCTGAGAGGCGGAGGATGATGGGAACAGTTTGTATAAACATAGACTATTTGCCATTTGGAAGAAAGGAACACAGAAAAAAAACTGGTTTCTGGATGAGGGCATCTTGGAAGTGCAAGGTATCTCTGTTTGGGAATCTGCTATGGGGTAGTGCATCTCCTGCCTTGGAAGAGGGCCTCTTTGCTTCTCCGTGTGCCAAACCTGTGGCCCTCCAGATGTTGTTGGACTTTGGCTTTCATCAGACCCAGTCAGCATGGCCAATGGGCAGGGATGATGGGAGGTATAATATAGCAACATTTGGAATGTCACAGGCTTGCCATCCCTGCCTTATGCTCTGCTTGTATATTTCTTGCACTGAAATGTCCTTTGAAGAAGTGAATAGGGATAGAATCAACTGCGGTCACATCCTGGCATTACATGTAACCATAGCACTGGTATATGGTGCGTAACTGCTGGTGTAATCCAGCAGGTGAACACACTCACAAAACTGCATGTATTTATCAAAAGTGGAACACAACAGAAATGTGCGATAGTTCTGTATGAATTTGCCAAAGTTCAATGCTAAAGTGGAAGGCATGGTACAATTGTATTTCTGCCATAAACTACATCTTAAGGGAAATCAAAGTAAGAGCTAGAGTTTATTGAATAGCTGCTAAGAAGAAACTGACTCATATTCTTCCCACGTACCATTTGGTACAATACCCAGAAGCTGAAAGAGAATTTCCCCTCATGCAAATAACTTTAATCCAGCATTCCCCCAACATGGTGTCTCCAGATGTTACTGAACTCCAACTCCCATCAACCCTATCTAGCTTGGTAAGGGATGGCAGTTCTAAACATCTGGACTGCATCAGATTGGAAAAGGCTGCTCTAGTCCCTTCCAACTTTTTTTTAGGGACTTTGTTTTAATATGATACTGTGTCACTTTGAAAAAACAAAATTGGCTTCTTCTTTTCCAAAATCCCAAGTTTTCAATGTTTCCAGTTCATCATGAAATTCTTTGTCATATCTACTTTTGTCCAGACTCTCTCATTTTTACATTGCAATCTGAAAAGTGATCAGTAATGAAGTTGGTGCTGTTGCAAAGTCAATTCTAGTTACCTATGAAACAGAATTTTATCTGTTCAAATTAAGCAAAATGCTAGTTGCTTTGATCACGGACTTTTCTGTGTATAAATTTACTCTGTAGCTATTAAAGATGGAAATGCATACAGGTATGACCTATTACAATGATGCTCAAGATGGAACAGCCTTAGTAACAAAAACCTTGGAATCTGCGAATCACCTGACTCCACTGCATATCCCCCCGGGCCCACCTATATCACCAGAAAGGTAAGAAGTAGCTATTCACTCTATATATTTTTTTCAATATCTCTATGTAGCTGACTTAGATCTTATACAGTGGTACCTCTGGTTACGGGGACGCGGGTGGCGCTGTGGGTAAAACCTCAGTGCCTAGGACTTGTCGATCATATGGTCGGCGGTTCGAATCCCCGCGGCGGGGTGAGCTCCCGTCTTTCGGTCCCTGCTCCTGCCCACCTAGCAGTTCAAAAGCACCCATAAGTGCAAGTAGATAAATAGGTACCGCTTTATAGGGGGAAGGTAAACGGCATTTCCATGTGCTGCGCTGGTGCTGGCTCACCAGAGCAGCTTCGTCACGCTGGCCATGTGACCTGGAAGTGTCTCCGGACAGCGCTGGCTCCCGGCCTCTTAAGTGAGATGAGCGCACAACCCTAGAGTCTGACACGACTGGCCCATACGGGCAGGGGTACCTTTACCTTTACCTACCTCTGGTTACAAACTTAATTCGTTCTGGAGATCCATCCTTAACCCAAAACCGTTCTTAACTCGAGATATCACTTTAGCTAATGGGGCCTCCCACTGCTGCTGCGCCAACGCCGCTGAACAATTTCTGTTCTCATCCTGAGGTAAAGTTCTTAACCCAAGGTACTACTTCTGGGTTAGCAGAATCTGTAACGTGAAGCGTTTGTAACCTGAGGTACCACTGTGGTATGAATATATTTATTACGGCCACAATGCTGTGTATTGGAATTAAGCCTCATTGACTTTGAGGAGATTTAATTCTGAGTAAACACACATATAGGGAAGCGGGTGGCACTGTGGTGTAAACTGACTTTGCCTATGCCTGGTATACATGGTTAGACTCAAACTGTTAGTCACTATGAGCTAGGTGTCCATGTGTCCTGCTTTATGAGGGACAGTTCTCTGTTTGAAGGGCTGTCTGTTTCAAGTCTGATATACACAGAAACAACTCTGAGAAGAAGGCGAGAGAGTCTTCAAGTTGACTATCAACAGTCAGAGCCTGGTCAGCAGTCAGGCCCGCTATGGCAAGATGCATTATATTTCTTTTTAAACTGCAGCAATTGCTTCCAAATGTGAACCAATACATCTTAATCAGCATGTGCAACTACTATGCAAATCTGTGTCCTCTTTGACCTCCGGTCTGGTAAGTGGCCATCCTAGCTATGAAGCAAGCTTCACTCAGGTAGAGTTGTTGCAGCTGCTCTTTGGGAACATTTGATCTGATTTCAGATATGAAGAGCTAAGGGAAATATTCCAGCTGCGCAGGCCCATTGTGAAAGGAGAACAAGAATCTGAACCCCTGTTGCCAGAATCCCACAGAATCTACGAGCCGCCTTACAAGTTTGATCAGGAACACCAATACTATGGCAGTAACAGAGATGCCCCGCTAAGGTAGGCTATCTGCTTTCTCTCTGGATGGCTGGATATTGGTGTTTAAATCCAGAAGCCAATTCAGAAATGCTGGTGTCTCTTGGAAAGCCAAAAACTGATGAGGACTAAACCTGGAAGAATATTTATTTTATAAAAACATTTCCTCCATCCTATGGTCAAAAGAGACTGCCCAATATGAACAGAGAGCTTTTATGATCTATGATACACTAAGCTCACGTTTAAAATACCTGCAGCGTTCAAGAATGAGGCATTGGTGTCTACATCCTGAAATTCTGCAGTTTTCAGATCACTATATTAACAAGTATGTCATTAATTTGGCAATAGTGCCATAGCAAAGGGCACTCCTATATACCTTGTGTGGCTTTGCATTTATGTTGGTTGAATGGGTTTTTATTCAGCATTGCTAAGATACACAGGTATCTTCATCACAAGAGTCAGGTCACATATATCCTAAGATTAAAACCACAAATTGTATTGTGACCCCTTTAAAGACAACTGTATTATAAAATGGGCTTTTGTGGACTGGATTCTGTGTCAGTTCATAAAGGCTTGTGTGTTAAAGATGAACTGCTTTGGCTTCCATTCTTATTGGTTTGCAGGAAGCTTAGACAACTTTGGCTATTTGATAAGCTTTCATTCTGATTTGTTTCTGGGGAGGTTAGATGACAGAATTCCACTTGAAAATAATAGCAGTCTAGAAGCACCCTTTGTTATATTTGCAGCAACAGGTTAACATGGTTGTCTCTCAAGATGTTGTTCCCAGCTAAGATCAGACTGTCTTTAAATAGCACGTGGAGCTCAAGTGCTGTTGTGGTTGTGCCTTTAGATTTTGATGCAGGGTCTCAGTCTTTGCAGAGAGCTAGCAGTTAAGTTAATAACTGAAGAAAATGTTCTCTCATTGCCCTGATGAAAACTTAGCCGGCTGAGAGAAACTTGAGCATTGTGGGATTAGAACTGCAGAACTATAGTTAAGCCACCTGATGGCACCAAAACACAAAAAGTGATTGCTGCACGTTTTAGAACTGGAATAAACATAATTATTTGTTTGAATGCCTGTTTCATTCAGAAAGAAAGACAGTTGCGTTATCAGCATAATGAAAAAATTAGGATACATTCCAAGAGCAACTATTGCAGCCCACATGAGATCCTTTAAAAAAAAAAATCTATTTGCATTTATACTGATCCAAAGATATACAAAGGTTCATTTCCAGTACAAATTATCTTTTATAATACACCAGAATAAATAAATACTTTAAAAAATCTAATCTAAAAAGGAACAGAAGGAAAAAGAAGGAAAAAGGAAAAGAAAGAGGGGAGGAGATAAAAAGAATTCCAGTTTTCTGTCCTTCAGCTAAATAGAGTATTCACTCATTAACATCCACCTATTCTAATTTTTATGACCCAATATTTTTTCAGTCTTCAAATCCAGATATTACAATGAGTCCAGTTGAGATCCTGAGCTGTGCCCCTCCCCTACTAGGTGCTGATGTAGGGAAAGAGTGGTTCCTTATTTTAAAACATACTTCCTTCCCGTGCAGTGTTTGTAACGTTTGTGGTTAAGTCTGGACACATGTCATGTCAGGAAACCAGCCTCCAGAAAACTGGAAAGAACAGACTAGATAGATTAAACCTGCTCTACACATTCAGCAAAGTGGTTTGTTTAGAACTGCACCCCTTCATAAAATTGCTCATCTTGCAAGTAAAAAACCTAGCACATCTGGAAGAAAGGATTGTCTAGCTGGGACCATTCCATGTTGCCCTACCTTTCTACTTGCAAAGATTCCATATGCAGGTAGGTTCTGTACATGTGGGCAACCGTGGGTCGAAGACATTCTTCATTATTTGTTTTATTGCCCACTATACACGGAGCTTGGAGATGGTTTCTAAATCCCCTGTTTGTTCAAGAAAGCAGTCTCTCCTCGGCGGAGAGAGTTCTGTGATTGTTGAGTAACTCTAACACCCGTGAGGCTCATAAAGTCACCCTTTTTGCACTAGCAGCAAGAAAGATTAGGAAGAAGGAATTGGACAAAATAACAGTAAATTGTAAGGAAGATTCTGAGGTCTAAATTGAAATACGCTGTATGTGGTTGCAGAGGCTCCCTATTCACAGTCTTGCTTGCAACACATGGTTCTGTTTGTTCAAATAGAGGTTTTGCTTTATATTTTATATTGCCTGTGTTATACGGTTTTGTCATGTCCTTTGGCTAGCACAATAAATTTACTGAACAGAACTAAACTACTTCCAGTGAGTTGTTTATGTACGGGGAGGGTTCACAGATGTGATATACCACCTGCAGTTTGAAATGGCACAGTCTCTTTTACCACCTCAGAAGTCGACCGCCTCATTGTACTGCACACATGCAAGCCTTGCTCCCTATAATTTTTGGTTGCTGCTCCTGCTGTTATTAATTTCATTTTAAAAGTGCCCTTCAGCCCATAGGATCCCAGGGCGGTGGACAAAAATAATCAAATAGAAGTTTTCTGCTAGAGATGCAGCAACAAAACTGCTAGCACATTTGCAAAGCTAAGCAGGGTCTGGTCTGGTTTCAAATTGGATGGGGGACTGCATGTTGAGATTCCTGCCTTGCAGGGGGTTGGACTAGATGACCCTTAGGATCCCATCCAGCTCTACAATTCTATATGATTCTAAATACAGTACAATACAAAATACACTGTTTAATAGCAAAATAATTATCAAAATCAATAAACCACTGACGTAAATATTTTACAACTATGAATAATTCAGTGCAGTGCAGACAAAATACTAACTGATGGATTCCAAATAACATTTGTCTCCCAAAGTAGATCCATCCAAGGAGGCTTTCCTCATTTTGACTCCTAACATTGCATAGTACTGCTGTTTGCATCATGTTATAATCCATGTCCAAAACATGGAGGACATTTTAACACCATCATCATCAATTGAATTTATATACTGCCCTATACCCGGAGGTGTCAGGGTGGTTCACAGAATAAAATTTAAATATAAAACCACAAATTACATAATCAAAATAAAAACAACCCAATAACCCCCCCCCAAAAAAAAACACGCCCCACTATTTAAAAGGGCATAGGATGTCAATCAAATCAACCAAAGGCCTGATTAAACAGGAATGTTTTTGCCTGGCACCTAAAAGTGTATAATGAAGGCACCAGGTGAACTTTCCTGGGGAGAACATTCCACAGCCACTGCAGAGAAGGCCCGTTCTCGTGTTGTACCTTCTGGTCCTCTCCAGACCGATGGGTGAAATTTACAAAGCTTTGAGTATATCCTAAAGCCATTTGGCCAGATTCAGCTGCAACAATCAGAATAGTCTCAATTACAATTGCCTTTTGGAAGTATAAGGTATCCTATACACTGCCATAATTGGCTGACCTCTCTCTTATTACAGACTTCCTGACTTGCCAGAAAATTCAGAGGAGTAAGTATAGTTAACTTACGTCTGTGTTAAAATCTGTGTGTTTTTTATTCAGATAACAGAAAAAGTATGACTGACATTTTTATCCATTTCCCAGCCAAACTGGCTTCTAAAGCAGCTTACAGTTCAAAATGTACAATATATTAGGACTATATGGAGGAGTTTGCGGCTTCTAGTTCCTGGCAATTGATGCCACAGTCCAGGTTCCCAGCTCTTCCCCCTGAGGCGACAGAAAGAGCTGAAGATGACCACAAAGGCTTGCTGATGACGAAGACACTGCCCTTCCCTTTGGTTTATTGTTAAACTAGTTTCTGTATAATTTATTGGCTAGAAAATGATGGCCCAAGCTCTCCACTGGACCTCGTTCCAGAATTCTGCATTACCCTTCCTGAAGTGCAAAAACAGTTAAGAAAGAAAGAAAACAAGTGCATTTAGCACTCCGGGTGCAGAGAAGGGCAGGTGTGGGGTCATCTTCCTAGGAAAAGGGAAAGAATTCATGCTGAGTAATGATAATAATTTATTCCTTGTACGCCAGCCACTCTGGGCAGCTTCCAACAGAACACCAAACATCGAAAGCTTCCCGAAACAGGGCTGCCTTCAGATATCTATGAAAAGTCAATTGTTTATTTCCTTGACATCTGATGGGAGGGCATTTCATGGGGGGTGGGGGACTACCAAGAAGGCCCTCTGACTGGTTCCCTGTAACCTCAATTCTTGCAATGAGGGAACCACCAGGAGGAGCTGGACCTCAATGTCCGGGCTGAACAATGGGGATGGAGACGCTTCTTCAGATGTCCAGGGCCGAAACAGTTTAGGGCTTTAAAGGTCAACACCAACACTTTGAATTAAACTCAGAAACGTACTGGGAGCCAACGTAGATCCTTTGGGACAGGTGTTATATGGTCCCAGTGGCCACTCCCAGTCACCAGTCTAGCAGTCGCATTCTGGATTAATTGTCGTTTCCGAGTCACCTTTGAAGGTAGCCCCATGTAGAGAGCATTGCAGTAGCCAAGCAAGAGATAACCAGAGCATGTACCACTCTGGTGAGGCAGTAGGAATGCCCTTCCTCCCCATGCCTTTGGCTCATTCTTAGGACTTCTTTCTTTCTTTTTAAAATACTGTTAGTAAATTCTGGGTGAAATGTGTTGCTGTAGCCTGTAGTTTAACAGCTGAATCTCTCGAATGAACCCAGGGCATTCCTGTCAGCAGGTATGGAACAGCTTGTAGAGAAGTCAAGGTAGAAGTATGGAGCAAAATTAAGGGATTGTATTTCTTCATCTGAAATCCATTCCAAGCAACTGAAGCCCATCATGACCATACAATGTTCTTTGTCCCTGTCAAAAACTTTCTGCTGTATTTGATAGATATGAGAAGTATCTAAGGCACAAGTCGCCAGCCAATCCAGAGACACATCTTGTGGCTGGCCGTCACCGGCCACTTCATCCTTACGTCCACAATAACATCGACATCACAGGTAAAGCATTATTCATTTGTGCCTGTGTGCGGTTTTGGTTTAAGTCTTCTCATGTCTTTTTCTCATGTCGTACCTACGGGACCGCCTCTCCCAATATGCCCCACGGAGAGCCTCAAGGTCCATAAATAGCAACACCCTAGTGGTCCCGGGCCCTAAGGAAATTAGATTAGCTTCAACCGGAGCCAGGGCCTTTTCAACACTGGCTCCAGCCTGGTGGAACGCTCTGCCTCACGAGACCAGGGCCCTGCAGGATCTGATTTCTTTCCGCAGGGCCTGTAAGACAGAGTCATTCCGCCTGGCCTTTGGCTTGGAGCCAATTTGATTCCCTCCCCCTCTTTCTCTTTCTTTTTCCTTTCTCCGCCTGTGATGAGGCTGCATTTTAGTATTTTAATGTTTCAGTATTTTAATGTTGTATTTTAATCTTGTTTTTAAGTTGTATTCATTCAGCTTGTTTTTATTATTGCTTGTTAGCCGCCCTGAGCCCGGCCTTGGCTGGGGAGGGCGGGATATAAATAAAAATTATATATTATTATTATTATTATTATTATTATTATTATTATTATTTTATCAGCTAGAGAAACTTAATTTAAAAACCTGCTCTTAGGATAGCTGTAAAGAAGAAGTGTGCAACCAGAGACCCTCCAGATAATGCTAAACGACAATTCCCACCTGCCTTAGCAATCTTAGCCAATGGCTAAGGGATGATGGGAGCTGTAGTTTAGCATCTAGAACACTAAATGTTCCCCATGCCTGTTGAAGATCATATTCTCAACTGTATAAGATAGCAGACCTCTCTAGTTAGAAGCTTTAAGGCAGTTCTGTGCATTATCTTGGGGGAAGAGGGGGAGCAGAAATATTTCCATATAACTGGAGGGTAGGAGTCAAACCAATGGCTTCAAGTTACAAGAAAGAAGATTCTGACTAAACTTCAGGAAGAACTTTCTGACAGCAAGAGCTGTTCAGCAGTGGAACGGACTCTTAACAAGAGGTAGCGGACTCTCCTTTCTTGGAAGTTTTTAAGCAAAGGTTGGATGGCCATCAGTCATATATGATCTAGTTAAGATTCCTGCAGTGCAGAAGGTTGGACTAGATCAGGGGTTGGCAAACTACGGCCCCCGAGCCGGATCAGGCCCGCCTGGGTCCTAAATCCAGCCCGAGAACCTGCCGTGAAGAGTTACGCCTGCCCTTCCCCCACCCCATTCTTCCCAGTGTGCATAGGAATTCATTCATATATATTTTTCAAAATATAGTCCAGCCCCCGACAAGGTCTGAGGGAAAGTGGACCGGCCCCCTGCTGAAAAAGTTTGCTGACCCCTCGACTAGATGTCCCTTGGGATCTCTTCCAACTCTACCATTCTGTGATTCTATTATTTGTTATGCTACCTTTCCCAAAAGGCAGGTATGACATACCTGGTATGTGGAGGAAACATTGACCATCTCTGTATGCAGGGCTTGCCCATCTCCCCCTCGTCTGCACACTTCTTCCCAAATGCTAAGCATCCTCTGACTCCAAGATCCATGTAAGGCTCAAAACTGTTTTGGAATCAATAGAAATCTGCTGGTGAAAAAACCATCAGACTCAAATCTACTGAGTCACAGGAGGCTAAGCCACAGACTCAATCCTGATGGCTGAACCTTGACTTTTGAATTCAAGCTCTGTATAGGTGCTCATAACATAATGGGTTTATTGGCAGGGTTCCATAGAGTTCCTGGTGGGGCTTTTAACTGAGGCCTGTAGCAGGATTTTTCCTGTTCCAAGGAAAGGGGGAGGGAGATCCTGGAGATTAGGATGTAGTGACATTATCAAGCCTCCTTCATCCGGCCAGTCCTGCTTTTGTTACTTTATATATCTGTCCATGCAATACAAATATATGCCACTGAAAGCAAGGGCTTTACAGCTGTGCCCCCAATATCTTCTGAAACTGAGGGACTGTTCTTCTCAGCCTGATTTTTCGGACAAGCCATCCCTTCTTTATCTGTCTATTGGGTTTTGCCCCTTACGATGCTTTCAACTGGCCAATACACACACATTTGTTTATTTATTATATTTATATAATGCCCATCATCCCAAGATCTCAGGGTGATTAACAAGATAAAATATAAAGCAAAAGCAAAAATAGTTAAAACAAAAACAACAAAACAATAACCCCTCCTTCTGCAAACACATTTAAAAGGTTAAAAGATTAATTAGAATATTAATCAGCCAAGGGCTGGTTGAAGAAGAATGTTTTCACTTGGTGCCTAAAGATGTATAATGAAGGTAGGGGGATGCAGGTGACTCTGTAGTCTAAGCCACTGAGCCTCTTGGGCTTGCTGATCAGAAGGTCAGCAGTTCGAATCCCTCCAACAGGGTGAGCTCCCGTTGCTCTGTCCCAGCTCTGCCAACCTAGCAGTTCGAAAGCACGCCAGTGCAACTAGATAAATAGGTACCGCTGCGGGGGGAAAGTAAACGGCATCTCCATGCGCTGTGGTTTCTGTCATGGTGTTCCATTGCGCCAGAAGCGGTTTAGTCATGCTGGTCACATGACCCCAAAAGTTGTCTGTGGACAAATACCAGCTCCCTCAGCCTGAAGTGAGATGAGTGCTGTACCCCATAGTCGCCTTTGACTGGACTTAACCGTCCAGGGGTCCTTTACCTGAAGGTGCTGGATGAACCTCCCTGGGGACAGCACACCACAATGTATATGCGTGTTTATTTTTATTTTATTATTCCAGTTTTAATTTTTCTCCTTTTCCCCCAAATTGCTTTGAATGCATTGAAAAAGTAGCATAACATCTTTTAAATAAATGAATGAATGAATGACCATACTGCGCATTCCGACTTCTATAAACGTGTTGGCAATAACGCAAAACGGATTACAGGCAAAGGGAAGTAATGTAAGAGGAAAACTTCATGAGACTACTGCAGTCACAGAACATTTGTCCAGTTTAAATGCATACAGTGTTAAGAAGCTTTAATCATTGGGAAGTAATGGCATTAAGCAACAGGTCAAGTTGAGTTAAGGAGCTGTTATCTCCAACCACCCAACACCACAACGCTGAATAAGAACGCTGAAGCACCTTGTGGGATCTTTGCCTAGTAAACAAAGGAGGCTTGTAAGACATTATTGTACAATAGTGTGATTAGCATTCCTCCTCCTAAACTTTCTCCCGTCTGCCTGTACTTTATTCTAGACTGGCTCTAAGCAGTACAAAGATGGAAAGATGTGCGGTTCTATTTTTGTTTTGCAAGGGACCATCAGAGGACAAGTTCTATTCCAAGCAAAGCTTATCAGGTTAAGAATTATGGCCTTCTCTGAGGAATTCTTCAGCTGTGTTCCTTTTTTGCATTCAGACGCTGGCAGCAAAATAATTGTACACCGAGTGTGCACCATACATTTAAAATACACACCACCACCACCAACCCGGAAAGAAACCTGGGAACTTTGGTTGACCCTTCACAGAGCACCCTTAACAAATTACTGTGCCCAAGATTGTGCTTTTACTGTATGGCGTGTACTCAGCCAATTTTGCTCCTCTTCCATAAACATTGTTAAAAATGCTCTGCAAAAGATGGTAGTCTTCTGCCTTCTGCCCAACCGGGACACAGGCCAAGACCTCCTGGTAGATCTCTGATTTGCGGTGGATGAGGAAGCATTTCTTGACTATAGCAAAGTAGCTGCCCCCTTCCAAGTCAGATTCTTCTTCTTCTTACCTGAGCTGCTTGAATTTCATATTATGCAACCAAGTATTTCCTCCTGAATTTTAAAGGTGGCCCCGAAAGAGACGAAAGAGCTGGCGAACCTTTAGACAGACGGCTTGGATACTTTCCTGTAGGTAATCGCGACTATGGTTGGGGATTTTAACAATAGAGGGAGGGCTAGGGCTCAGCAATCAAAAAGAACCAGGTTCAATTCCTGGTTACCTCCATCTTTAAGAATAAAATATTGAAACCTCAAGTAACAAAGAGGTCTTGGAGACAGCTCTGGCAGAGTAGACCAGCCTTTGCCAACCAGCTTCATGGACTATATTATTATTGTTGTTGTTGTTGTTATTTATTAACTGCCTTCCACATATTTATCTCGAGATGATGCACAAAATAAAAACGACCTTTTAAAAAAGTTTAAAACAGAACAATGACAGGAAATGATTTTTTTTTAAATCATACAAAGTAGACACGCCCATGGCAGAGGCAATGCCTTCTTTGAATGGAGGAGGGAGGGTGGCAGAATGTGTGTAGAAAATATCCCACAGTACTAAGGTAGCATTCATTTTAATGGCTCCATCCTCTTTTGCCTCTGGTCCTGACCTCCACTGGCACATGGCCTCCGGAAGGTTGCTCAAAAGGGAATGTGGCCTTCAAGCTGAACATAGCTCCCCATCCCACCCCTAGACTCTTATGTGGAAAGTGAATCCAAACTTTTACCATCCTCATTCATTTGCTCCCAATTGGACAGATTTCTAAAACCACGTTTTAAACCTTGACAGCTTCAATTTTGAAAGTTGTGTCCTTCCTACCCTCTCAGCAAACACTCACACAGTTCAAGCAGGAGAATTTAGCATGCCTGTTCTACTTTTTATTCTCAGAATGGCGATGAAAATGGTCAGCCAGGCGACCCAAATGCTTCCCCAAAGGCGGGCCGCAAGAAGACTTCCAAACCCCCGGAGCTTGACATTTCATTCAGAGCTGCCAACATGCTGGAAAATGTCAAAAAGGCCCTCTGGTTGTCGACTTACAAGCGTGACTACACAGGTACACACCTTTTAAACATGAGAGATTAAGGCTGGAACACAAAATACCTACAGATAAAGCATCTTGAGATTTGCTCTGCATTTTCCAAAATATTATGATGAGGGGAGGTTTTTTTGGGGGGGACAGTCTTGATGATACCTGGGCTCCCAATTATTGGGACCTGGACCTGTAAGGCTGGAATGTATACGAGGGAACCTGCAGAATGGGTCAAATTTATAATGGTAATGGCTTTAGTGCAGCCTTCGTGAGCATCTCAAAGAAGGAGCTAAGTGATGCTACTCTCCAGGAAAGAGGGCCACGGGCATCTTCCCCACTCCCTTCACCTGACTAAAGGCCACATGATCCTAGGTAAAAGAACAATGCCCAGAATTGGTATACCTGTGAGGAGGGAGCCGGATGTTAAAGCTGCAGACACAGAGACATGACTTTGTGTCTCCACTGGAAGTTTAAGGGGAAGCAAAAACTACAGGGGGTTTTGTTGTTGCTGTGAGCCACTCCATCCTATGCTTGGGATATATATGTGTGTAAATAAAACCATTTATCCTGGAGACACCACCATCTCCATTGGCTTTCATTCGAAGGAAACCAAATCCTGGGTTAAGCACAGGTACCCCTGGAGTCTCTAATAGCTTGGAGACTGGGGTAACACATAACAATATTATTGCTATTTTTCAAAGAAAATACTACATATTACATATTAACTTCCTAAACTGATGTCAACATTGTTTTGCTTAAGGTAAAGGTTCTATGAACCCCTTGCTGCTGGATGACCATGATCCTAAGATGATTGGCAGAGCAACTGGAGAACTGGGCATGGACGTTGAACTCGTAAGTATGGCAACTAGGACCTTTCAAGCTGATCATTCCCTTCCGTTTCTGATGTTCAGGCTGTGACTGCCATTGATAATGTAGCCCGAAGGGCAGCACCCACCCACAGCACCCAAGAGGGAGATATCAAGCTGGGAGGTGGGCACGGTGGTTGCAGAAATGCAAAAACAAACAAACGTGTCTCTAAGGGAAGGGGGAAACCACAAAGCAGCCCAATGAGAACTGAGCATGCTCAGTTTCATAGAACAGCCAGCTGACTGTCCTAGAAAACCAGGTGGGAAGGAGAATGGAATGGAGAGGCTGGAATTCTGAACAGCAACACTCCACGCTGCAACCTTATTGTTGCAAGGCACTCTTTTTCTATGCATTAGCTTTGTTCGTGATGAGACACGTTTTATTGATCCGTGGTGATGAAATGTCTTCATTAAAGCTTTTCTTTAATGGAGTGGAACAAATAAACTGTTATTACTAATAATAATGGAAATAAACAGTAAAAAAAAAAGGTAATACCCTGGACATAACTGTCACCTTGCAATGCCTACAGTGGCTTCTAATCTTGCATCGACACTGAAGTTGCGATCTTTTCAGCACCAGGTTAAGATTTTCCTCTTTGATAGGGCTGGGCGACATATCACTATATCGTCCAAAACCAGTTTGAAGTCCACATTGTGGTATCGGCTTCATAATTTTTGACCGGGCAATATATCACGAATCATGATGTGTGTTTGTGTGTGCTATGCAAAAAATCGCAATGTGGGGAAAACCGTGAACCCAGACGATGCCTTTATACATAGCTCCATCCTTATTTCAGACATGACAATATATCAGTATATCGCAATGTTTAGCTGGTGATATATCACGCTGTTGAAAACCAAATATCGCCCAGCCCTATTCTTTGACCACACATTTTTAAAGGGTTACATCTGTCCTCCAGTATGTTTGTTCGTTTCATAGATGTTGTCTTTTGGTTTCTTGTATTCTCTTGTTGCTAATATTACCATACACTGCCCTGGAATTTGCTTGCACAAAGGACAATTTATTTAAATATTAAATCATCAAGCAAATGATATACAGTATCTAGTTTGGTCCTATAACAGAAATGGGGAATTTCTGGCATGGCAGATACTGCTGGACTACAACTCCCATCACCCCTGACCATTGGCCATGCTGACTGGAGCTGATGGGAGTTGGGAATCTAACTGCATCTGGAGAGCCAAAAGTTCCCCATCGCTGCTCTGAGAGTTGTATTTAGAGAACATCACTATAAACAGAAAGGGTAGCTATCAATCCCAAACGATCTGTTTTTCAGAGAGAATCATTTCCGTCAGCTGAGACTCAAGTAAGACCCTTAGAAGGACGTATTGCTCGCGCACTTCAAGGCAAACCAATTCGCCCCTATGACCCTCAGCAGCAGGATCCTGGCTATATTTGTGAGCACCCACCTCAATGGACAGGCGAGTCACTCATACGCAAATGTTTAGATGCGGTGCAGAGCAGCAGTAGGCAAATGCCTCCGGAAACAGACAGCGGAGCAAAAAAGAGAATTGAGGACTTCCCACAAAATCAGATTGATCGTCCGGTAGGTAACCCAAGAGAAAGCATGAAACATATAAAACTTCCGTGGAGCAGGTTTCAGAAAATTACAGATACTTGGAAGACGGAGAAGTTGTATCAAAGGCAGCTTGCTGTCCCCCCCGAACCAGAGATTGTTGTGAAGCCCGCTGAATCCATTCGCTACGAAGATCTGCCCCCCTCCCGCTTAAGCAATTACATTGTATGGCACCATCCCATCAGCCTCTCTAAACCAGGCCCAACGGAGGTGAGCTTTGAAACCTGTGACGACATCCCGGGTGCTCAATGTGTTCCTAATGTGTTCCCAGGGATCGAAAGCAGGTCCAGTTTCCCAGAATGGATTCCTAACTGCGGGATAGCTCGGCCTCAGACAAAATTAAACGATATGCAGTATTGTTTTAGGAAGGGTGAAGCCATCAAGCGCCTGAGTGATCTAACTAGAGGAGGAATAAGGGACCTGAGGGATCACGACAGGAAAGGCAGAAGGCACAAATTCTACGGCGTGAATGCCTATCACTATAACTGACACACGTCCTCACCCTTTCAAAAAAAGCGAAAGGGAAGGGCGAAAATAATCTCAGCCGATTTCTCCAGTTGCTGCTTCTGAATTGGCTTGCTGTGCTTTATAAAACACTCTCCTAGTTTTTCAGTTTTTTGCGTGAAGTACTGATTCAGTGTCGTCCAAAGGCAGGTAGAGGCAGCTCTGAAGTGGTTTGGGAGGAATCAAATGAGAACAAGACATAAAGCCTCTTTGCACCTAGGGCCACACCTGCTAGCCATGCCTCTAATATTATGAGGTACAGTGGTACCTTGGTTCTCAAATTTAATCCATTCCGGAAGTCCTTTCCAAAACCAAAGTGTTCCAAAACCAAGGCACGCTTTCCCATAGAAAGTAATGCAAAATAGATTAATCCGTTGCAGACTTCTAAAAGCAACCCCTAAAACAGCAATTTAACATGAATTTTACTATCTAACGATACCATTGATCCACAAAATGAAAGTAATAATCAATGTACTGTACAGTGGTACCTCGGGTTACATACGCTTCAGGTTACATATGCTTCAGGTTACAGACTCCGCTAACCCAGAAATAGTGCTTCAGGTTAAGAACTTTGCTTCAGGATGAGAACAGAAATCGTGCTCCGGTGGTGCGGCGGCAGCAGGAGGCCCCATTAGCTAAAGTGGTGCTTCAGGTTAAGAACAGTTTCAGGTTAAGAACGGACCTCCGGAACAAATTAAGTACTTAACCTGAGGTACCACTGTACTATAAAATAAATATGACAGTATTGTAGATGACAACAATTAAAATTATTATTTTTTTCTTACCTGCACTGATTATAGTCATTGTTTGGATGTCGGGCTTTTATCCATTTCTGCAGTCACACAATCAATCAATCCACACAGTCACAAAAACAAATTAACTGAAAAAGCCTCAAAAACAAAAATGCAAAATTAATAGCAAAAACAAAAGCACCGCAGTTAATCCGTTCCGGAAGTCCGTTTGACTTACAAAATGTTTGAAAACCAAGGCACAGCTTCTGATTGGTGCAGGCGCCCCGGAAGCAATAGCCGACAGCAGCATCAGACGTTTGGCTTCTGAAAAACATTTGAAAACCGGAACACACACTTCTGGATTTTTGGCGTTTGGGAACCAAGGTATTTGAGAACCAAGGTACCACTGTAGTTGTTAATTTGCATTTTTCTTCAAGGAACTCAAGGTGGCGGTGCACATGGTTCTCGCCCTCCTCATTTAATCCCAACAGCAACCCTGTGAGGCAGGTTAGGATGAGAGGCAGTGACTGACCCAGGGTCACCCAGTGAGCTTCATGATCGGGTGGGGATTTGAACCTTGGTCTCCCAGGCTCTAGTCTGAGGCTCTGACCACTACGCCACACTGGCTGTCATCAGGACTCCTCTCTTTCTATGCCCCTGACATGTATGTGTTCTACTGAATGTGAAAGCGGGGTCTTTCCTTTATGCAGCATTGCATATGCAAGGATCCAAACCTGTCTCTAAAAGCTCACTGGGCAGGAAGGCAGAGGAAGGGCAAAAGAGGGGGGGTGACCCCACCCACTTTTGGCTCTTGCCCTGCCTACTTATGGAACACAGCCCCTGATAGATCACCCCAGAATAAGTGCAGCCAGCAACAGAATAGTATTCCCCACTCCTCATCTATATGCACAAATCCCCCAGAAAGAAAAAATATTTTCAACTCTTGAGATTAATTTAAAATATAGTGGAATAGTCAATTTGCTACTCACCTGTCAAACCATAAAAGGGAGGAGCCAACCACCTTTGCCTGCATAGTTGTAGAAGTACTCTAACTTCCTTGTTCAGGCAATGAAGCGGAACTTTCAGTTCATTTATTATGGTGGACATAAAATACACGGAATGCAACGTGTATTTGCATTTACTGAGAATACTCAGTAAATCCACATCAGTGACCTTTAACCACCCACCAGCATTTTCCAGCTAATTATATGGCTAGCAACCACATCATGGGATTTAAAATCAATATAATGCTAGGTGGGAGGTGTGCAATTGTTATCAGGGCTGCAATGCACAGGGAGGGGAGACTTAACCCTTCCCTTGCCTGACCAAAACCTCAGCAATTTGAATTAGCAAAAAGCACCCATGCCTGTACTATGATGGTGGTGGGTGATTTTCTAGAGGATCCTATCACATCATACGAAAGAGTTAAAGCTGCTCTTCCCATGCAATGTGGCCTTATTTTTTAAAAATCCTCTTACCCACCATGCCTAATATTAAATTTTTGTCAATCCCTTGATATGGACACTATCCATGTGATTGACATAACATCTAGTTAGGCTATCCCTGCCACACTGTAACTGAGCCTGGAGTAAGGGTCATTGCAGTTTGCACTAGATGGACTACAGCTTGTTGGACTACAGCTCCCATCATCTCTGACCACGGGCCATGCTGCCTGCAACTGAGGACAGTTGTAGTCCAGCAGCATCCGAAGGGCGCCATGTTGGCGATCCTTGTTGTAAGGCATAGGACCTTGGGAGGTTGCACAAGATATCCCATAAAAGGTGAGCTTTGAGTGGGAATTCAAAGGCAGGAAGAGAGGTGTTCTGGGGCATATACAATTGTGGCACTAAATTTTGCAACGTCAAATCGACACAATCCAGCACTGTCACAAAGGGCACTAAAAGGCTTCTTCAAAAACAAAATTATTATATGATATCCCTAATGTAAAATCTACATTAACTAGAATATGCATTTCATTTCAAGAGCTGCAAACCTATACAACATGTCTTCTCAGAAGCAAATCACATTGATTTCAACGCAGCTTGCTCCCAGAAAAATATATGGCTGTATGCTAAACTGTTTTTATCCCGCCTCTTTCTTATTCTGTGTTTGAATATTTACTCAGGGAGACTCAGGTGAGAAAACAACCTTTAGCCCTTTAAAAAAAAAAGTGGCATAATAATCCTCAGACTATACAATTTAATACTTTGCTCTGGGTGCAAAGGTTAATAGAGTCGTTCCAACTTGTCTTGCTCCCTTATTGCATCATTCACCTGTAACTTTGTGACTACACCATCATTACCTGAATGGGGCATCCCCCTTCATTGTACGAAGAAGAACTGCAATATCCTCGCCCAATCACACACTGGGCGGAATTCCCACGCACGTCACTTTCTGTAGGGAGGAGCATCCAATCACATGACCTTTTTTTTTTTTAAGCCAGCATCCTCAAGCGTGCTTGACCTTGCCGCTATCCCTCTCCTGCACATGCGCCGCTGTCGTCATCTTCCTACGTCCCTGCCTTTGCGCAACGCCAAAGCCGGCTCACCCGAGAGCCCCTCGGGCTCAACCTAACTGGCTGAATTAGTCACGCTGACAGGCGTCCGGCTGGCCCAGTAGAGCTTCTCCGAGCCGGCGTCTGATTGGCCAGTTCGGAGACACGGCGGCAGGCCCCCGGAGGGAAGCTTGGTTGCGCGGACACCAGTTACATAGCGCTGGGTACGGGGTGCCCTTGGGCTCAGTCTGCGGAACTCTTGACGGGAGAACGCGCGGCGGCGGTTTTGCATCCCTTCCTCTACTTTGCGTGGTAATGAATGGGGGAGCGGGAGCCTCTCGTGTGAGGAATGGAGGGGGGCACCCCATACCCCGAACCGGAGGAGCGGGATTAGGGGAGAAGCAGAAGCCTGCGCTGTAGGCCGGGCAGGGAGGAGAAGCGGGTCGAGGCGGGAGCGGGCTGTGTGGAAGGCCAAGGTCAGGCAGGTGAGCCCGGGGAGAGAGGCCGGACCGCCTCCACGTGGCCTGGAGCAGGAGCGCGGCGGGCGGCGGAATCGCGGCCCTTCATGGCCTCCCCCCTCCCCCCGGTCATCGCCCTGGAAGGGGCTGTAGATGCAGCCCCTGCAGCGGCCCTTCCCTTCCACGGGCGGTGGAGACGCCGGTGTCTCCTGCCGGAGGGACGCGGCGTCCCCAGAGGCCCCGCAGCGCTGACTCATAGGCGGCGATTTTATCAGGTTTCGAGCATGCGCCCTTATGCAAGATAAGGAAGAGGCGGCTGCTGCTGCTGCTTTCTGGGCATCTTTCGACCTTGTGAAGCTCCACATAAAGCCGAAAAGGAAGGCACAGGTCGTTGACCTCAATGAAAGAGGCCGCCCGAGAAAAGAACATTGCTGCGCGCCGGTTTGACCCCCCGCGTGAACTCGTGCCCTTCATCCCGCCCTTAAGCAAAGCTGTTAGCGCGGCCTGGAGCTTCCCGCCGAAAACCAAGCATGGCTAAAGGCACAGGGTGAACTTGGTCCCTAGATATATAGGGCGTCCATATGATCACACCGAACAGCAGGGATTAGCAGTCTCTATTTGCTAGCCACTCACAAATACGGGGTTGGTATTTAAAAGAAGAAATTTTAAATGCATATATACATATACATACATGTGCTATATGTATTTTAAATCTATCCTTTTGTTTACCAACTCCATATTTGTGAGGGTGGCTGGCAAAGAGAGACTGCTCGTCCCTGCTGTTCAGTGTGATCTTGTGGATGCTCCCTTAACTCTGTGAAACAGGAGACTTGAGAAGGAAGGCATGCTTTGTTCCAACATTACAGTGCCTCTCTCACTTACCTCTGTAACACGGACAATTTTCCTGGTGTCACTGTCCTAACCACAGTTTTTGAGACTGCCCCCAAACTGAGAGGGAAGATGAGAAATAACACTTAGCATGACCCTTATTTCCTCAACAGGTTTGGCAGTAGTGGGTCCTGTTGAGGAAATAAGGCACTGTAATGTTGGAACACCTCTTGCTTAACAATTTCAGCCATGTGCATGTTGATTTGGAAGCAAGAACCTCCCAAGTAAAGTACATAGGATTGTAGCGTTGCACAATAACAGTGTCACGAACAACTTAGCTTGCCCTGATTGTATCCTGGGTATGATGACACTACAGGAATATAGATTACTATGAATCAGACAGAATTGAATATATCTGATACCTTGTTTTATGCAGACAAGCTCTTTGATATTCACTTATGCTATCTTACTCTAGAACAAATGCTCCAAACAAATTTCCTGAGATAGTTTTGAACCCCAGGGACAGACCATTTTCTTCTTTAATGTTTCATTTTAACATGTAACATTAGTAAAACCTAATAGCTTTTGAAAGTTGATCTACTGTTCATAGCCATTGGCTTTAAAATGCATTGTTTTGTGCTTCGTTTTTTGTTTTCTTTATGGCCGCTTTTAGAAGTACCCGGATCTTTGCATTCTTACTGCGTTTCTCATTCACTTCAGATGAGCCCAACTGACCTTGAAATGTTTAAGATTGTATGATGATCTTGTTTTTCTTCAGCAGTGACCATGGGAGACGTTGAGAAGGGCAAGAAGATCTTTGTTCAGAAGTGTTCGCAGTGCCACACAGTTGAGAAGGGAGGCAAGCACAAGACTGGCCCTAACCTTCATGGTCTTTTTGGCCGAAAGACTGGTCAGGCCGAAGGTTTCTCTTACACAGACGCCAACAAAAGCAAAGGTAAAATGGAAGTGTCCTGTTAGCTTTGCAAATCAGATTGCAGGAAAACTAGCAGCAGTCAATAGGGAGGACATAGTTGTAACATAGAATGCATGCTCACTCCCATGACCAGGGCATTCTGGAATGTGCTCTGCATCTTTCCAAAACTCAACCAGTCCCACTTCATTGCCTGTTATGTGCCCTGCTTTTAGGTCATCAAGGAAAGGTGGCTAGGGAGTCAACCACAGCTTATCAGGATGCAGAGGAGGAAGGTCGGCTCTGTGTGCATGGCACCAGTGGGAGTGCTGGATTGGCTCCACTGGTGCATCCACAGAGCACTGACCTTGTCCCAGCAGTGGTGTGGCAGGACTCCAGGTACATGCTGCTGCCACTCCTGCCTGCTTTCAAGAATTAACTTGCCATTTAATTTCTGTTCTCTCTGGGGTCAGCTTCCTAACTTCTTCTTTGCAGCAGCTTTGAGCTGCCATTTAATCCTGAGACAGCCCACACTAGATTAGTGTCTCTCTTGCAACTCCCAGCTCCATACCTATTTGTGCAGGTTAGCTGGCAAAAAATTGTTTGCCAAGTAAAGAGCCATAGAAACACCACCTAGTGGTTGCATGCAGTGGGCAGGCTTTTAGGTTTTGACTGTCATGAGAATGAGCAATTTCAGAGTTCCTAAAACAAAAATACTGAGGACCTCATCTTAACAAATGCCCACTTAGGGAAAGATTTTGCCATGCATTGCACGGCAATTTACTGCTTATGCGTGTATTGGCTTTTATCTAATATAGCATGGAATTTTACAGGTAGCATCATGACTGTACAAACAAGCAGGGTTGAGCAGGAAGTGTAGACTCCCATCATGTGCTTTCAGTTCAGGGCCAGTAACAACATCTTTAAGAGTAATGCCTCAGTGACTGGTCTTAAAAGTTATCGGTTCATGTCCTGATTGCCTAATTTGTCTGTCCAAATCTGCTGGTGGTTTTAAATATAAAATGAACCATATGACATGGTTTTCAACATTGGACCAAAGTATTGAAATGGGGGGGGGAGGGTTGTTGGATTCTTTATATAGAAAACACCTTGTTAAATACTGTTGTTGTTTCCTAGGTATAACCTGGGGAGAAGATACACTGATGGTTTACTTGGAAAACCCCAAGAAGTATATTCCAGGAACCAAGATGATATTTGCTGGCATTAAGAAGAAGGGGGAGAGGGCAGATTTAATAGCATACCTGAAGGAGGCCACTTCTAACTAATGGCTTCTGCTGCCTTATTTATTTCACCATACAAATGGAAATGACTCTCTGATGAGATTGGTTTTTAAACTTTCTATTTTTACATGTATTATATTGTAACAACTTCAAAAAGCCTTCTCGTCAGCCAGAGAACTTTTGATCATGAATGGTTGCTAACATATGTACTTGTTCTTGTATTATAATTTATAGAATTATGCAATCGGGCTTGAATGAGTACAGTCAGGGTCACTGTAGCGTTACCTGATCATGTAATTAAAAAACAAACAACCCCTGTCAATGTGTCTCTGCTTTTTCTTTCCGGGTTCAAGCATACAGTGGTACCTCAGGTTACATACGCTTCAGGTTACAGACTCCACTAACCCAGAATTAGTACCTCAGGTTAAGAACTTTGCTTCAGGATGAGAACAGAAATCGTGCTCCGGCGGCGTGGCGGCAGCAGGAGGCCCCATTAGCTAAAGTCGTGCTTCAGGTTTCAGGTTAAGTATGGACCTCCGGAACGAATTAAGTACTTAACCCGAGGTACCACCGTATTTGAAAGCAATTAGCATGGTGCTTTCTATAACCTCATCACAAGCAACTCCATGGTCCTGTATGCCTCTCCTGTTTTCCTTCCCCATACGACGAATCAAACACAAACTTTTTTTTAATTTAAACTTCGCTACAAAACTTGGAACATGACCTCTTGCCCTTGACCCCTGGCTCTCCAGAGGCTTATGGTAGAGGCAGGCAGCATAATAGCTGCTGCAGTCATTAAAAAGTAGCAAGTTGGTATGAAGTGGTGGTAAAAGCCATGAGTAGAGTCCTGTTGGTGCGCTTGTGCTCACAGAAGGGCTTTAGAGCCGGCAAAGGTCTTCACTAATGGAAGAAGGTAGGCAATAATAATAATTGCCATCTTCCCCTTCTCTGACAGCTTGTAGTTTCTTCTCCCCTCTCCCAAAAGGCTGTTGAGTCCAAAGGGTTGAGATGTCCTCCAAAACAGGAGTAAGTGGGCTGCAGGGGGAAAGGAAAGTGAGAAAAATGCATTCCCTCCCATTCTTTTAGCTGAGGTATACAAGGACACCGATTAGATTTTACCCTGGAGTGTTATGTGTCTATATTGAGCAAGAAATGTACACAGTATATCGAATGGCAGCACTCCATGCCATGATACATTACAATCTTAGTTTCTAAAAGGTTAGGGGCAGCTGGCTGGGGAAGTGTGTTGGTCAGAATTCACGATGGGTGATTGGCCTGTTTCGGCAGGTTCTTGCGTTTTTATGAGTACTATTTTTGAGGGCTTTGAAGGAAAAGGCACTACAAGATAAATGCTTGTAGCAATGTAGTAATTATACCAGCATTAACCACAGCCATTCTAGCCAACGGTTAGGGATGAAGGAAATTACAGATCAGCAGCTGGAGGCCACAGGTGCCTCACCTCTGAACTAACACAACCATTTTACTTCCAAATTCTTTTTCCTTATCACTGAACTCATCATAATTGAGTTGAAAGGTTCATTGACTTCTTTATATAGCTTAGAAGTAAGACATACTCAAACCAGATTAAACTACCATACCTGATCAAGGGAAGTCAATGCTCTGTTCTGCCTTGATCAGGCCACCCTGGAGTACTGTGTCCAGTTCTGGATGCCACAAGTTAAGAAGGATTTTTAAATATATATATATATATAATTTTTATTAGTTTTTTTAACATATCATTTTCAGCAGTAATTAAACATACTTTTACATCTTATTCAAATTTTTGACATCCATCAATCCTGTCTGAAAATTTCCCAATCTAATCTCTCAGTATGCATTTCTTATCTTCCCTATTACATTTCAAACTCATAACCAATATCTCTATTTCTACTTTGTAAAACTTTGTATATTTCTCCTTACAAAACTTCTTGTAGTCCTACTAGAGTAATTTGTTGATTACAGTTGCTCTTCCAATCTTCTGTAAATCTCTGGTCCCGCAGGTTTTGAATCCTTCCTGTCATTTTGTCCAATTCTGCATAGTCCATTAATTTCGTCTGCCATTCTTCTTTCGTCGGAATTTCTTCTTGTTACCATTTCTGGGTAACAATACTCTTGCCGCAGTTGTTGCATATAAAAACAATTTAACATCTTGCCTATTAATGTCCTGACCTATAATGCCAAGTAAAAATGCTTCTGTTTTTTAAAAATAATAATTAAAAAAACATTTTTAAGTTAAGAAGGATGTTGACAAGCTGGAATGTGTGCAGAGGAGGGCAACCAAGATGATCAAGGGTCTGGAAAGCAAACTTATGAGGAGCGGATGAGGGAGTTGGGTATGTTTAGCCTGGTAAAAAGGAGACTGGGAGGAGATATTATAGCCATCTTCAAATAGCTGGGATAGCTCAGTCAGACAAGCATAAGACTAAATCCCAGGGTCGTGTGTTTGAGCCCAACATTGGGCAAAAGATTCCTGCATTGCAGAGAGTTGGACTGGCTCCTGTTGTCCCTTCCAACTCTACAGTTCTATGAAATACCGTATTTTTCGCTCTATAGGACACTTTCCTCTCCAAAAATGAAGGGGAAATGTTTGTGCGTCCTATGGAGCGAATGCAGGCTCCTTGGCTTCAGCGAAAGCAACGCGAAGCCTCCAAAGCACAGAGGGAGCGCTCCGGAGGCTACACGTTGCTTTCACTGAAGCCTGGAGAGCGAGAGGGGTCGCAGGGATAGCCACCTGAAGCCTTTGGAGCGCAGCTGGACCTCGCGCTGTGCTCCAAAGGCTTCGGGTTCCTTTCGCTGAAGCCAGGACTTCCTTTCAACCACTGCTGACTTTAATCATCTATTGAATACTCTTTAAATACCTGCTTTTGACTTTGTTTTATCAATCATTTTAATATTCTTTTGTATATTTTTGTAAACTGTTCAGAAAGCTCTCTTACCATCATGTGGTTTATAATATATAATAACAAATTCAATTAAAAAAACCACACACACTTCTTTTCCTTTCAAACAGAGTTTGAGCCTTACTATTACATACTATTCAGTAACTGGATGTTGATCACCGTACTTCTGGGCCTGGCATACAAAAAAAAAATGCCTTATGGTTTGCCCCGGCTATCGTCATGTAGATTTGGAAAGGCTGGGGCGGGGAGAACAGAAAAATGGGGAGGGGAAACAGGTTCCCCCTCTTTTCCCCCCAAAGCCGTTTTTTAGAAGTCCATGAGAAAAATGACAAAGAGCAAGAACAAGAAGAAATGGAAAATGATAGCAGTAGTTCAGAAAATGAGATAGAATAAACTGCATGTATATGTTGTGTCTTCTTTTTTTGTGTGTTTTTTGTGTTTTTAAAAAAGCACTACTCAAAGGGTAGACCTTCTTTGGAGCTTAAATATTGAAGTGGACCTTAACTTTATTTGCTGTTGGTGCTAAGGGGCAAATTGATTATTTTTTATGTTGATGGTTTCTTGCTTTTTTTGCTGCTTTTGAGGGAAAGGGGGTGGTTACATGTTTTATTGCAAGCATAATACATTTATCTACACTGTGTTTCATGCAATTTGTAAAACCACTCCACACTGAACTTTTTTTCAATTTTCCCAAAATTTCCATTTTTTCCTAGGGGAAACGGGGGGGGGGACTTTTTCCCCTCACGGCTTCAAAATTTTACATTTCTACACTGGGCGCCTCTGAAATTTTATAGACCAAAGTCCATCCCTGGGAGGGGGCAGAGGGGGTGTCACTTGTTGCTTCAACATCTTAGCTCATGCCTCTCATACAGCTGCTGATCCTTGCAACCTGTGATTTACTTTTCGTACCATTCTAATCTGAAATTCAAAGCAAAACCAGAGTCACGAGTTCCAGACCCTCATCTGGCAGGGAGAGTTAAGACAACTGGCAACAGTGTCAGGCAACTGTTGCCTTCATGCCTCCTTGTGATCTTCCGCTAGGTGTCTGGTTGACCACTGTGTGGGAAAGGACAAAGGACTAGATGGAGCTTTGGACTAATCCAGCAGGGTGGTTGTTACGTACTGAGTTGAACAGGATCCAAAATGCAGCAGTCTGATTGGTACTAGAACAATAGGATTCAGAATGAAGCAGTCTGATTGGTCCTAGAACAATAGGATTCAGAATGCAGCAGTCTGATTAGTCCTAGAACAATAGAATTCAGAATGCAGCAGTCTGATTAGTCCTAGAACAATAGGATTCAGAATGCAGCAGTCTGATTGGTCCTAGAAAAATAGAACCCAGAATGCAGCAGTTTGATTGGTCCACAGGAGCCACCCAATCCAGCTCCAGGTGGAAGTGAATCTGCAACCTGATTGGCCTACAGGAGAATCCTGGAATTAGCCGATCACGTGGGGCCCATTGTGTAAATAATGTATATAAAGCAGACATTCTGGGGGAACTTCCATTCCTCCTCACCACTATGAGCTGAATAAAGAGCATGAAAAACACTCTTGACTCCGAGTATATTTCAGTGGTTCAGCACATGTTCCAGAAGCTTCAATAGAAATGTACTACCAAGAACTCTACTTACGCAGTCAAAACATGAGATAAAATTCACCCTGCAGGGAAGCATTCTGCCGCAGCTACAGAGAATCCATCTTACACTCTTGGCCTTTCTTTTATTCCGTGGTTTTTGATATCCTCGTGTGTTCATTTTTGTTTGCCTATTCATAAGTGGCTGGCGAAACAACAGTGTGACTGTCGCTTGCTGCATATATCAAATGGCGGCTTTGTGGAGTTCAGACTCTGATCCCTCTTGTGAAATGCTAGACTCTTGGGTCCTCCATTAGAGGGTATGATTGAATTTCAGAACACTCAGTGTTATCCTTTGATTTCTGCTTGGGATCAAGTATTTACCTGCGCGGCACAGTGTCTGCATTAGCTTATTGCGTTGAGCAGCAGGCAGGCAAACAAAGGAGAGAAAACGGAGACTGCCGCTATGGATTGCACTTGTGGCTCACTTTAACATTCAAGGGATAAATAATCCAGAATGCCTGTGAACAAAGCAAGCCAAACTTCTGGTCTGCAATGCTGGAGGGGGTTTGGATGCAGTAGAGATGTTTCACACCCAGACTTGCCAAACTCTGGGAGACGGGAACCCCTGTTGAAGTTAGTGAAATTTCATCTAAGAAGCTCAAATCGTATATGTGACTGACACCCTTCACTGGAAATTAAACCAATGTCAATACTTTAACATTCAAAAACTTTACTTGCAGAAACTTAGTTATAAATGAATTAAAACAGAATATTTACAGTCACGTGCTTCTCCAAGCATGGGCTTCTTCTAACTTCCAAACAAACTGTATTTTCCTCCCTTTCCAGAGCTCAGTACTCAGCCTTCTGTATCTCAGGCCATGCCTTGCAACTTCTAAGAGAGATTTCCACTTTTACCTTTTCCTTCTGCTTTTCTGTCTTTCAAACAAAGAAGAAGCACTCAAACATTCTATTCAACTTAGCAGTATTCACAGTGGATTCTAAAACACAGTCATCTTGCCTGACATTAAATGGAGTCTCCCATTCACTAGATACCTCCCATGTGACTACTAGAGAACTCTCTAGAATTCAGTTACCAACCAATCAAATTTAAACACATAGTCATGCATAAACGTATTTATAATCTCAGCCAATTAAATTACAGTGGTACCTTGGTTCTCGAATGGCTTAGCTGACGAACAAATCAGCTCCTGGAGGCCGAAAACCCAGAAATAAGTGTTCCAGTTTTCGAACTTTTTTGGAAGCTGAATGTCTGACGCAACTTCCACTTCAGCGCAGGAAGCTCTTGCAGCCAATCAGAAGCAGCACCTTAGTTTTTGAATGGTTTCGGGAGTCGAACAGATTTATGGAATGGATTAAGTTTGAGAACCAATGTTCTACTGTACTATACTTAACAACCCCCACAGAGAGCCCCAATACACCTGCCAAACCAGATAGAAGTTACTGCTGGTGGTAACCCATGCAACTGGCTGTTTTGGAGGTGGAGAGTGAAGGTGGCAGGAGCTGAAGCAGCACAGAATCTGCTGGGTCTTAGGCTGGCCCTTCTACCAATATGTGAGGGCAACAGTTGTTTGTGACAAGCCAGAAGCTGGGATTGAAGAGCAAATCAAGACAAAAAGATAAATCAGGATTGAGGAGCAAGCTCACTACCCAGGAGTGGCTCTCTCAGCAAATTCATTCCATATAAACTGTCTTGCAAGCTTTTCCTTAATAGACTCCTGCTATGCAAGAGTTATGGAACTCTGCTGATGAAGTCAAAATAATTTAAATTCTCTTGCTTGGAGATGAATGCGCATAGTGAGGCTGCATAATTGCTTCCAAAAGAATTAGAAAATATACATTTTCTAATAAAACTCCCTAAGCTCTTACTTCTGGGAGAGATAATTCTAAGAATTCCTGTAATACATGCTTTCAACTGTGGCACTGAAGATGAAAGACTTCCGTTGTAAGAGTTTTCTCTGAATCTGTTGTTTTTTTTTTTAAATTATGATTTAACGCTGCTCTCTGCTATTTTGCAAGGAGCTGGAAACTCAGCTCATATCTTTGCTGTTATATAACATATTATGAGGAGATGTAATACAAGTGGGGTGAGGGAATAGCCCCACATCACAGAGGCCCCAGGATGCAGGAATGAGGCAATGGAAGGTGACGGAAGTCAGTGGGAATGTCAGGGGATGAAGAGAAACAAGACATGGGTAAGGGAGTTGAGAATGAACTGAACCAAAAAAGCAAATACATAGTGGCATGTATGACACAATTATGTTCTGAATATTTGGTACTAATCTTTTTTATTTGAATTCCATCACTTGACAAACATCACATCACAGCAAGATGGACTTGTGCTCTTGATTCAACACAAAAGGTTGCTACATTGGTGCAGTGATGGCCTGGGACTCGGGCTCGGGCTCGGAAGAGTCTTGGTCCACACCAGATCCTCTGCCTCAGGCGGCATCTGAACTGAGTCTGGGGCCTGATTCTGAAGAGCGCCAGTCTGCACAGGTTCCCCTGCAACAAACACCAGCTGGGCCAAGTCAGGAGCCTGAGCCTGCCCTGGCTCCAGATGTGGGGATTACCTCATTGACCTGTGCTGGGCAATCACATGCAGTTGCTCCGCTACCAGTTGGTTCAGGAGAGGCTGAGGCGGCCTCTGGGTCTAGTAACTCACCGACATCTCCCGAGCTGTAGAGAAGGAGAGACCCAAGTACTCTCAGGGGGAGTGCTCGCCTTCGGGCGAGACAGGGACAGGGAGGTGAGTCACCGGGGGATCAGGACCGGCCGTTACCCCGCCAGAGATAAAAGGCTGCCGGACACCACCCCAGGTTGTGGGAGCAACATTGCTGCTTGCTGGAACCTGCCTGTTACCCTGTGCCTGTCCTAGCCTGGTTTCCTGCCTTGGCCTGTTGGACTGACTCCTCATGGAATCCTTGGATCCTAGTGAGTCCTGCCTTTACTATTCTGCCCCCAGGTATTTTGTTGTTGTTGTTGTTGTTTAGTCGTGTCCGACTCTTCATGACCCCATGGGCCAGAGCACACCAGGCACTCCTGTCTTCCACTGCCTCCTGCAGTTTGGTCAAAGTCATGTTAGTAGCTTTGAGAACACTGTCCAACCATCTCATCCTCTGTCGTCCCCTTCTCCTTGTGCCCTCCATCTTTCCCAACATCAGGGTCTTTTCCAGGGGTCTTCTCTTCTCATGAGGTGGCCAAAGTATTGGAGCCTCAGCTTCAGGATCTGTCCTTCCAGTGAGCACTCAGGGCTGATTTCCTTCAGAATGGATAGGTTTGATCTTCTTGCAGTCCATGGGACTCTCAAGAGTCTCCTCCAGCACCATAATTCAAAAGCATCAATTCTTCAGCAATCAGCCTTCTTTATGGTCCAGCTCTCACTTTCCATACATCACTACTGGGAAAACCATAGCTTTAACAATATGGACCTTTGTCAGCAAGGTGATGTCTCTGCTTTTTAAGATGCTGTCTAAGTTTGTCATTGCTTTTCTCCCAAGAAGCAGGCATCTTTTAATTTTGTGACTGCTGTCACCATCTGCAGTGAACATGGAACCCAAGAAAGTAAAATCTCTCACTGCCTCCATTTCTTCCCCTTCTATTTGCCAGGAGGTAATGGGCCCAGTGGCCATGATCTTAGTTTTTTTGATGTTGAGCTTCAGACCATATTTTGCCCCCCAGGTATAGGGTGGTATATAAATTCAATAAATAACAACAACAATAATTGCTGTTATGGAATGTTAGTGTAGCCCAATGAGTCTTAAAAATTGCCAAATAACGTGATCTGCTCCTCAAGCCAATAGTCAAACCAAATAAATTTGCCTTTTCACCACTTTTCTCAGTTTCTCCAATGCCCTAGTCTAGCCACCAGAGGGAAATCTTCCTCTCTCTTTTTCATTAAATTCAGACACAATATAAACAGATCGGTCAACCAGATTTTCAAAGCGGATGTCTTGACACAACTGATAACTGATATTCATTCAGTCTGTCACAACAGTAAAATAAAACTGACGTTTCATATGGTGTCCAAGGTGATAAGTGTCAGAACACTGTCATGAAGCACAGAAGACATGCAATGTTCTATAAAATACTATTGTTATTTCAAATCTTGGGGAGGAGAAAGCATTATTTGCAAAATTTGATGCCCTCAAAGAGCACCTGTGTTCATTTTCATCTGTATATAAGAACATTACACACACACACACACACACACACACGGTAGATTAAGTGACTATCTCTGGATCCCTAGGGATGGGTTCTGGTGACTACTTAGAATTTTGCAAATGGCATTAGACTTACCTTCCATTGGTTTGCGAGGACAAAGTAGATGGTTACAACCAAAGTGTTAGGTTCTGATTCTGTGCTGGATTATGTACAAAGATTGGCAGAAAATATTAGTTTCAACTACTGTTTTTGTTTAAATATGTTGTCAGTCCTGTTATGCAGAAGAGTGGACAGACCTGCTTCTGGCGGTAGTTTCATGGGGAACAAGTGAAGGCAAGAACTGGTGAACAGTGGTACCTTGGGTTACATACGCTTCAGGTTACATATGCTTCAGGTTACAGACTCCGCTAACCCAGAAATAGTACCTCGGGTTAAGAACTTTGCTTCAGGATGAGAACAGAAATCGTGCTCCGGCGGCGCGGCAGCAGCAGGAGGCCCCATTAGCTAAAGTGGCACTTCAGGTTAAGAACAGTTTCCGGTTAAGAATGGACGTCTGGAATGAATTAAGTACTTAACCCGAGGTACCACTGTATAAACAACACCTTCCTGTATCATACAAAGTGTTAGCCCTAGATGAATAGCATTTCAGCTCTGCTTCAGGCAGCAAAAAAACTTACGTTGGCACTGAAAGTGCTTTTTCCCATAGGGAAATATGACCAGTTCTGAAGATGTGCCATGATCCACAGATCTCTTGGATACCAAAGGACACTGTATGCTTTTAGTATCACACACAGGACTTTGGTGACCCTAGTCATAGCTGCTTCAATGTGGCACCCATGGGTGCTAAGGCACCCCGAAGGCTTCTGTTGCTCACAGAACCTCTCCTCCCTCTCTCTCACAAATGGGATCATCTTAATAGATGGTCCTGGTTGCCGGCAGGCCCTCAAACTGGCTCCCCCCACCCCACCCTGGCGTGGGTGGAGCTATCACCCTTATGCCGGGGTGGCAGCACAATCACCCAGGGCTATTGCCCAATCGTTTTGAAGGGTGATTGTGGGGGAAAGTATAAAAGCGGCGGTGCGACGTGTGCCAAGCACCTGCTTTGCATGGCCGAACAACCCCTAAAACAGCAATTTAACATGAATTTTACTATCTAACAAGACCACTGATCCATAAAATGAAAGCAATAATCAATGTACTGTACTATAAAATAAATAAGACAATAGTGTAAATGATAAGAATTAAAATTATTCTTTTTTCTTACCTGCACTGATGATAGTCATTGTTTGGAGGGGGGGGCTTTTATCCATTTCCGCAGTCACACAATCAGTCAATCCATCAATCAATCAATCAATCAATCAGTAGCTGAACTTGGTTCCACACAGACATACACAAAATTAACCAAAAAAGTCTCAAAAACAAAAACGGAAAATAAATAGCAAAAACAAAAGCGCCAAACTTAATCCGTTCCGGAAGTCCGTTTGATTTCCGAAATGTTCGAAAACCCAGGCGCAACTTCTGATTGGTGCAGGCGCCCCAGAAACAATAGTTGACAACTGCATTGGACATTCGGCTCCCAAAAAACATTCGAAAACCAGAACACTTACTCCCTGGTTTTTGGCATTTGGGAACCAAGGCGTTTGAGAACCAAGGTACCACTGTATATGAAAGCTTAATAACTGTATAACTTATTTACTTGGAGGTAAGTTGAAAAAGAAAACTTGGTTTATTATTAGGTACAATGCGTTAGTAGTACAGTGGTGCCCCGCAAGACGAATGCCTCGCAAGACGAAAAACTCGCTAGATGAAAGAGTTTTCCGTTTTTTGAGTCGTTCCGCAAGACGAATTTCCCTACGGGCTTGCTTCACAAGACGAAATGTCTTGCGAGTTCTTGCGAGTTTGTTTCCTTTTTCTTAAAGCCGCTAAGCCGCTAAGCCGTTAATAGCCGCTAAGCCGCTAAGCCGCTAATAGCCGCTAAGCGCCGTGCTTCACAAGACGAAAAAACCGCAAGACGAAGAGACTCACGGAACGGATTAATTTCGTCTTGCGAGGCACCACTGTACTTAATGGTTTTGCTACTCCTTAAAGAAGATAGCTAGAGGCCTGCTCTAGTACCTCTCTGTGTATGATAACCTCCTTAGCCAATTACTCTCCAACTCCAATCACACACACACACCCTGCCAGTTAACTCATAGGCTTATCTGGAGGGCATTCCTAGAAGCGTGGCTCAGGATTCATTGCTCTAGGGTACCTTTCCATTCCAGCTTTACCGTCATCTAAAGTCTTCACTCTGGTCAGCTTCTACTTTTTGTTAATCTGACCTCAGTTTCCCCCAAGACTGCTACCAGAGTCTTCCAAGCCTCTCTCACAATCCACCTTAGTTCTCATCTCAAATCATTTCAGCATCCAGCAAAAGTTCGCCATTTTCTTCAGTTTGCTTTGGGCTCAATCTCTCGGCTTCCTTTTGGCTTTCAAGGTTTCTTTGCCCATTCTCCCATTCTCTTCACTGTCCACTGACGACTGTTCAACTGACCCCTCAAACAGTGCTGATCCCAGCTTTATATTCCCCTCAGCTGGGACCTCCAGCCAATCAATTTGTATCTGATGGAATTCCAAATTCCAAACCTTTGTTGGCCTACAATTATGGACCAATAGCTTGGGATGGAATGTCCACCAAATGACCAACTAGACTGACCGTTTTTGGGTGCTGTGTATGAAAGGCCAAACCAAGCCATCACCTTAGCAACAGTGAACAACTGTGACAGTTTAACTGCCAAGTGACAGGCCTCATATACCCTGTATCTGTAGAAGATGATTCCTCTTCCCACAGCTAACGGCTTACATTCCAGTCTCTGTTTAAAGCCATCACAAGGTTCATAGCAATACAAATGTACCTTACAAAAAATACGGTACCCGCACATGAGCTACGGGCATCTGTCAAGAGAGGAGTCAAGAACTGTTGCCAAGATGCAAACCAGCATATGACAGAGCAAGGAATGACTCTTCTTATCTCTGCAGCTGCCATCTCCTGGGTGACAAGGATGCCATTAGGCAGTTGAATGCACATGCGCACTCCATCAATTTCCCTCTCCCCCCCCACACCCATCTGCATGGCCCCAGGCAACCCACACTATGCCACAGTTCCGGTACAGCTACAACAATGCCCAATCTCCTACCTAAACCATTAAAATAACCGTTAGAATGTGAGAAATGCCTTGTGGACTTTTATGCCTCCATGCTTGGGGATGAATCCCACTCTCCCCTTCATTTTTGGTGCAAACTGTAGTTAACGACCATTATCTTTGCACTGGGGCTTATGAATCATGCTTTTAATTTTAAGCACCTACTTCTAACCATAGTTTGCAACTAACCACATTTAGATACCAGCTATGCTATCCATAGTTAGCTTTGAAAATGAAAGGGAGAAGATAAAGCAGGAGTAGAAAGTACCAAAGCCCTCACTTTCTTAACTATGATGAGAGGACCAGGTAGCATTATAACTGCTCTCAGCCTCAAAGTTTGCAATAGAAACCCTTATGTATTCCAGCAAAACTATTGTCAGGCTCATTTGCCCAGGCCTGTCCATTTAACTTCCTAAAACTAGATGTTCCAGTCCAATCTTGGAAAGCAGGTGAGGCTGGGAGGTCAGATTCAGAGCCAAGAAACATGACCTTTGTAATTAAAAAGATAAAGCACTCTGGTGGAGTAAGTCAGGTGTGTTTTTTCTATTGCTTGCTTCTGCACAGCAGCAAATCTTCTCTGTGACCCAGAACACTCAGTGACTTAGCTGAGTTGTACTTCCTGAGCAGTCGTGAGGAAAAGACCTAGAAACCTGTTTACTGAGTCATCCAATGGTGCACAGTTCTAAGAACTGCTCCGTGATGCTTTGCTGAGCTTGGCATGGCCCATAAACTCAGTGCCAGCAGAGAAAACAAGAACAGCAGTAGTAGCAACTTACCCTGTAGGGAGACACATAGCCATGTGCTTTCATTGAAGTCAGACCCAAG